TACTGGCCTAGTTAAATCAAAGTGGTTACTTTTTTTTGGCTGGGCAGTGTAGTTTTACACACCGTCTTATTTGACTTTCTCAGGACTTAAAACTGTTTTTTGGGGGCAGACCCCCACAAAGAAAAAAAAATATTTACACACGTAAGGTCAACATCTTAACGGTTTTTTATGCTCATCGAGTCATCCTTGAGCAGAGCATCAAGTTGGCATGCTTCAGCTGAATGCGGCTCACGTCTTGTGCTGCATTCAGTTGCACTCGGACATTAGGGATTTTCTCTCATAAATGTCCGATGAGCCACAACTTTGATTTCATAACAAAGCTGACGTTTTGTGCCAGATACTGTCTCCTCTTTCACTTAAGGTAACTTCACTAAAGATCGATCCATGTTGCCGCTCACATAAAGTTGGCTGAAGTTAACCAGCTAGATTTCACTGTTTCTCATTATTTTTTTCTCATGCTGCGCCTCCCCTGAAGCTCTCTGGCGCTCCCCAGGGGAGGCACGCCTCACACTTTGAAAACCGCTGGTCTAGAGGGCACAGGAGTGTCTAATAAACATGGCATGCCAAATGACTGGTTTAGCCTGATGCACAAGGAAGCTATGATTTGTGAAGTCAAGAATACTTACCCTTAAAACATGAAGCTAGATTTGTTGCTAAATATCACTCAAACGCAGTCTCTTGGCTTTTTCGTACACAGCGGGCAACTTTCCTTTTGAATGCGCCGTGTCTGTCCTCCCTCCACTCTTTCTGCAGGGAAAAAAGGTAAACTATTCAGTTTATCTTTTCAAGTGTTTGGCCTATTCCATTTTTATTTCATTGCTAAATTACATTCATGCATTTTTTACTTGTGCATTTTTAGATATATGCTCTATTTAATGCCATTGCAGACATACATAAGCTATTTCTTGCTTGTTTATGCTTGGAAGAGACAAGCACATGCATTTCATGCAGACACTATTTCTATTTTCTTGTATTAATTGACATACTTTGTCCAAAGATTTACTTTGTTGAAAATGGATATATAAAACAAGACAAAGAAATATGCATTATCATTTGCCTTACATCTATATTAAATACAAAACAATTAAAATACACAAAAATAATATGAAACAAATACATTTAAAGTAAATAAAAAAATGGTATAAAAAAATCCTACAATTACAGGGAAGGATACTACTTCTAATAACCCTTTTAAATAATTAAACTTACTGCAGCATCCACGTTGGCTGGTGAGTCACCATTTGGGTCAGCCAGCATAGAGATAACACTAATCATGATGGTTTCCACTGTGTGGATCGGCAGCCAGCGCTCCTCTGGTTTCTCATAGCCGTACTTGTCCTCCCCAGGCTCGTGCAAAATAGAAATACATACGTCTCCATTTTTGTCAACTGGAAAGAAAAAGAAAAGATATGGAAACTTGTGAAGCAGAAAATGCTATTTGCGTTTCCTATGCTATGTGTAATAATAATTACACAATTTGTAGTCATGTCCACAAGACATTTAGCTTATCAACTACCAAACCAGTTCATGATATTGTTCTTAGACAGTACCTATGAAAAATGTCTGTCATTTTTAAGTTTATTTTTGTCACATTGTTTGCATTTTTTAGCATGACTTACCTTATTCTATAACTTGTAAATAAAAGGTATCCCTGGTACATCCTTATATTGACATTTGGAATGTATTCCTCTGACTTTAATTAAAAAAACTAACAAATGCCTGTTATCATAAGCATTTATACATATCACAAAAATAAAAAATCCTAAACATTTCTGAAATGAAACCCTAGGAAATATTTAAATATTTTAGAGGGGTTGTCTTACTACACACAGAAGCAGACACCTGTACCTACCATTAGGATGCCAAATATCTGTGATGAATTTCATTTTAGGTGGCCTGAGAGGATAATCTTTGGGAAATGTCAGATGAGCTTTAAACACACCGCCTTCACTGTGGAAAAAAGAGAATAATCAATATTATAAAAATTGCATTTTGTGTACATTTCACAGCATCCACAGCAACTGAGGAGCAATAAGAGTTGCCAGGCCCAACATAAACATATTTTTATTGTAATATGGTAAACTTACTACAGTGTGTCTGGAGGCCCGATGATCAGTACTTCCCATCTGTAGAGATCATTATCCTCGATCAGGCCAGCTGAGAATCCTTCTACTGGGTTTTTGTTTAGCTCTAGGTATAAAAACAAAAGCCAAATTCAAATTGCCAAAAGCTCATTTTATTATAGTTCCTACAGAATGAAATTACAATGATGCTGTGCCTTAAAACCCTTGTCTATGGAGGCCTTGCTTGGGGGTGTGAATGGAGCTTCTTGTTGCTGAAACCACACACCATCCTATTCAGCCAACTCCTACTCACTTACTGGATCAAGCTGCAATTCTAGAGACATATTTCCCTTTGTAACTCTTAACTGTTCTTGCATTTCAACATGTATTATTACTTATAGAATATTAACAAACTTAAATATACCATCACCACTTGTGCAGAATACTGATTCTGAGCAAAATCTAAAATCCTGTCAAGTCAGTTTATGTTGGTCTAAGGAAAAATGTAAAAGGGTAGAGTGACAGTCAATTGTATGTGATTGTTGTAAACCCTGTGGGCTTTTCACCGCTTAAAAAAAAGTTAGGATGTTGGTCCTATTTGCATTGTATTGTATTGTATTCGTTTTAGGATGATCGGATTAATTTCGGTTTAAATTATGCCGGTGTGTGCTCATTTATAAAGATGGTTATGTTTTGCTCAAAATTTTGGAACAGTGAGGCATACAATATTATTTTTTCCAAGATTCAAGAAATCGAGGGAATTAAGTAATATTATCAACAACATATCCCCCTACACAGATTTTCAGTGTTTTAAGACATGTTTCTCTCAAATTGTTCCCAAATCTGATCACCACAAAACATTTGTATCACTATAATTATTAAATAGTATTTTTTTTATATTCCTTGCCTTTTTAATGATTTCAACGATTCATGAGTTGGATTTAAATGTTTACTTTAAAGTGTTTGGGAAATTATTGTGAATAAATTGAGATAACTGTTTATCTCTTTCTTTTATTTGATGCAGATTCAGGTAAAAGGATTATAAACTTCTATTATTTGTTTGTTGGCACGGCTTGGGACATCAAGTACCTGTGCGTTAGGTCACATACTGTACATTAGTGTATTAGTAATAATAATAATAATAAATAATAATAGATTTATTTTGTTAGCAGTAGTACTCTACTAGATAGTAGTATATTACATTTTACTTGTTGGACGCTTTTATCCAAAGCGACGTACATACTCAATACTGTGGACAATCCCCACAGGGGCAATTTGGGGTGAAGTGTCTTGCCCAGGGACACAACGACATGCTGACTGCAGTGGGGTTTGAACCTGGCTGTGACCCACTGATCCGAGCACCTACGGACAACCCACTACGCAACACGCCTCCATATCTCTGAGGGCTTTATCTATCTATAAAGTTCTCAGGGATATAGATATGTTTTATTGGTCAGTCAGTGAATACATTAACTTCTATTCTAACTTTCTGTATGTTCAATTTTTTTAAATAGCTGCCTCTATGTCGCAAGTGAACTCTGAGGCTTTAAGGTTACTTCACAAGCACTGATGGATTGGGTAGAGAATACCAGTAAGTGAGTTTCAATGCTACACTGGATTCTGTTATAAGTGTATGTCTGCAACAAAAGGACAATAAACAGCCTCTGCAATTGTTCAAAGTGCTTATAGGGAGGCAACTAAAAATGTGTGACATCAGATTAATTACCTCATTGCAATCAAGTCCTACTCAGAAATATCCTTATATAAAAGCTACACAAGAGCACATTATGTCCCTGAAAAGGCAAATGTCCCTCAAATTAGTGCTACAAACCAAACAAGTTACATGATGCGTTGTTCGACTCAAGTGTTCTTAGAAATATGTCAAATGCAATTGGCAGACTGCCTTTGCTAAAACTGCGAATATAGATAATGCGAGATTAGCTCGTTAGCTAGGCGTGTTGAAGCTAACAACAGTGACAGCAGCTAACTTAGCATACAGATGGAGCGAGTATTATGTTAACAATTAAATACGGTTTGCCAACACCATTGGGTTATTTAGTGGGAAATTATTTTATTGTATACATAAATACATTAACTAACATCAGGCTGATCACATAACAAGCGAACACCGTGTCTATACAATGAAACACTACTTGTTATGTATGTTGAAATATATGTAAACACATCGACTCAGTCAAGCCAGATAGAGGCTAACGTGATGCTAGCTGCTTTAAGCTAGCACGACACTAGAAAGTCACTGACACTTCTGACAGCGGCTTTCAACTGAAAACAGTATGTAACGTCTTAATACAAAAGAGTTGGTCTCTCAACACTGGATGTTGTTAATTGTCGACGCCCACTGCTATAAAGTCAGCGCAGTTTATTTGTCATTGGCGTTAGTGTGAAAGGCTGAAGAAAACAGTTTGCGCCAGTAGCACCATCGTTTGAATCACAGCTAACGGCGGCGGCTCATCGTTAGCTCGGCAGCCAGCATCAGTTACCACCAAGGTTTAATAATTAACGTTACCTGCAAGCTGTCTCCTGAGTAACAGCGCAGACTGAGGCTCTGTCATAGTTTAGCAAATGTAATGCCGCTTTGTTCAAAGGTAATGTTTTGAGTTAATAGCGTTAATTTAACGTTGACTAAAGTGTACTTCGTCCCTCTATTTTCAGTTTAGTATTCTCGTCATTCTTCTTCGTCGCCGCCTCCTCCTCCTGCTGCTGTTTCTTCTTCCTTTTCTTCTTCGTTGGTATTTCACAGAAGCCGGCATGCATTACTGCCACCTTCTGGATATATATTACATTTACATTTCTATCTTCCCTTGGATTTTTTTGCAACAACTCTGTTCTTCTTGGACGATTGTAAACATTTCCCACAAAATATTGTCAGATGTTATCCTGCAATGGGCATTGTTTTGCAATTTTTACAATTTCCTTTTCTTTCCTCTTGTCATTAATACTTATTACTTATTTTCAATATCTCACCCTGCATCCCATAATGATTGTATTTTGAACTGACAATAGATGTTTGTCAGCTTCTATTTTCTATAAGCTATAAAGCAGCGTTTGCAGCATTTGTCTTTGTCTTGTCAATATGCTTTGAAATAATGGCTTTCTTAGAAATTACCATAGAGTCTAAGAGTGTTTTCAAAGAGGACAGCATTTCTGTGACACATTATGGTAAATCCCTTCATAAGTTCAATTACAAAAAAAAAGATGACGGATGTCCAGATGTCTTCCAGGTTGAACACGTTGAAGATCAGTCAGTTATATGGATGGGTGCTTGGAGATGTGTAACTATGGATATTCTTCTGCAGAATACGAGAAGAATAAAGACAAATTGATGTTCAGACTGCCATGTATACGGTTGAATTCTGGCACTACATTAAAGTCTAGTTTTAGACAAATAATATAGCTGTGGGCTGTTTCTTTGTTTTCCATGAAACCAGTGAGCTGTCTGTACTCATACTCACACAATACCCTGTGGTACTTCTCCTGTCTGTGGCGTCTGCCGCCCAATCTGCGTCACTATAGGCTTGAAGCCCTAAGCCCTCGCTGCTCTTTCTGTAACAAAGCTGTTTATCTGCTGTACCTTTAAGATAACGGAAAACATGTTTTGCTGTAATCCAGTGCTCTTCTGTGGGATCAGCAAAATGCTGGGATAACTTACTCACTACAAAACATAGGTCAGGGCGAGCACATGTTGTCAAATAAATGAGGCTGCCTACAGCTTCTCTATACATTTTTACATCCGTCAATTTTTGTGCATCCTCATTGTCGTCTAGCTTTTGATCACATGGTGTTTCCCTAGTTCTACACTCCTGCATGTCAAAACGATTCAGGATCTTTTCCACATATCTCTTCTGAGATATTTTTACACAACTGGCAGACTTTTCGAAGTCCATGCCTAGAAAATGTTTTAACCTGCCCAGGTCCTTCATCTTGAATCTGGTGGAGAGCATATCTTTCACCTGCTCTAGGTTTCTAGCGTTGTCTGCTGCGATGATCAAATCATCCACCCAAATCACAATTATCACTTTCCCTGACTCTTTTGACTCCTTTGTGTAAACACAGGGGTCTACTGGGTTCTGTATGAAGTGGTCTTCAATTAGACATGTATGAAGCATCTCGTTCCAATTTCGCCTAGACTGTTTCAGGCCGTAAATGGATTTTTCTAGCTTGCACACTAGCTTCTCTCCTTTCTTCTCGTAACCTTCAGGTTGTTCCATATATATGTCCCTATCAATGGGTGCGTGCAGCTGACTGTCTTCACATCCATCTGGTGTAAAATCAAGTCGTCTTCGGCTGCCTTCTGCATAACTACCCGTACACTGGTCAGATTAGCTGTAGGGGAGAATGTCTCACCGTAGTCTATTCCTTCCCTCTGACTTTAGCCTTTAGCTACAAACCTGGCCTTGTACCTGTCGTGCCCTTCAATACCCTCCTTGATTGAGTACACCCACTTGCCTCCCACTGTCTGTCTACCCTCGGGTAATTTTGTTAGAGTAAAAGTATGATTGTCCTCCAGGGACCTCATCTCCTCATCCATCGCTCTCTCCCATTTTCCTGATTCAGGGGATATCATGGCCTCTTTAAAGGTCTGAGGTACACCACTCACTACTCTGTAGCAGTAATCTATGCTGGTAAGTGTACTGTCATCCTCGTCACTTTCTCTCTGGGCATAGTCTTTCAGATACTTTGGGGGTTTATGTTCCCGGGGGGGATATCTCCCACTGCATGAGGCACGTGACGTCACCCTAGGGTGCTTCTCGCCATCATCCTCCGGTGTCTGTTGACCGTCTGTCTGCATGTCTGTGCTCAGTACACTAGGCTGTGTCGTCTCTCTTTTCTCACACCCTACTCTGGAGTCCAGCTCTGGCTCCTGTGTCTGTGTCTCGTTCTCACATGTTGTCTTTGTGACAAACTTTACTAACCTGTGCTTTTGCACTTTCCCCTTACCGGGATAATAGACTAGAAAAGCGGNCCTCAGAGAACATAAGAACAGCCGCGCCTCCCCTCCCAATTATTATTGCTGTTATTATTATTATTATTATTATTACCCCTGCATTATAGCAACAACAACAATAATAATAATAATAATAATAACAGCAATAATAATTGGGAGGGGAGGCGCGGCTGTTCTTATGTTCTCTGAGGGGAGGCTCACCTACCCACACTTTGAAAACCCCTGGTTTAGAGACATTGTAGACATCAATAGGTTTGCCAAGGGAAAACATTGTTTAGGGTCTTAAGGTATTCAAAGAAGTATAGACTTGGTCGCTTTTCTGTATAGAACATTAAAAAAGTTTTGCGGAGTGAGTCCTATACCTGAATTAGTTAGCATTGTAATGGGTAACCTAGTTTCGAAGAGTTTTTGGTTTGATGCCCATTCAAACAAGCTTATAAGATTTTCAAGTTTTGTTCTACGACAGTAAACATCATAGACGGTTGCTAACAAGTGACTGAGTGAAACGACTGAATGACTCCATGCCGAACATTAGCCACCTTTAGCTTAGCGGTGGTGATGCGCCTGCAACTGTGATCTAGTTCATTTATAGCCTAACGTTAGCTTTTTACTTCCTCTATTGCATGTACGCTGTGAACTCATAAAAGTAGAGTCGATATATGATGATGATGATTTTTGCAATATTCGAAAAACCAATTGAAAAATTGCATTGACTATTTGTCGAGGGAGCTGTTGCGATGCTAACTCCCTGGTGGGACTGCGAAAAATGCATCATCACTGCAGTACTCTAATTTAATATACAGTAAGTAGTTAAATGATGAAATAATGTTGGTGGTCGAAACCATTAGACTTGAACTAAAGTACCCCCAATGACACTGATGAATTTGCCAACCTTTTTTTGAACATTTGTAACCAACTGAATTAAACTTTGACCTGCAAATTGTAAGCTCTTTTTCTTTTACGCCAGTCTTTAAAGGTCCCATGTCATGGCCTGGGGGACTGATTTATTTAATGCACTGCGTCTCCATTCAGAATGTCCAAATGCAGTCTATTTATTTAACCCAAAAATGCTTCTAATAATGTTTATAACATACAATCTCAACTTGCAGATGAAAACAAACCTTCCCATGATAGAGCACAACTAAAAGGCCGATGTCCTTCAGAAGACATTATTATCTATAATCATAGTCTTTTATTTGATCTGCGACTGATTAGACCTCCGCTCCCTGAAACTGGCAGTCATGTTGACTTAGCTTTACAAGATAACCACGGTGACAATGAGTTTGCAGTGATAAGGAAACAAGCACTCAAGAGGCATGCAGATGTCAGCGCTGACATTGAGCTACATGGGGAAGTCAAAGTCAATGAGAAGCCATTATGCAGAGAACTATCAAGTGGTGAAGCAGCAATGCTATCAGGAAGAGTGAAAGAAACAGGTAGGAGGAAGCAGAGACGTGAGCAGCACAGAGAAGCAAGACAACAGACATGCAGTTTCATTTTTTTGAGACAATGAAAAATTCATAGCACCGTCACCGGCTGCCAGCCTGAATCAAAGGTGGATGTGCATCGCTGACGGGCCTTGCAGGAATTAAATCAATTTATCTCTGATTTCACGAGGGGGGTTAAAAATATCCCCATCACTTATGTATATCTGTGTCACCCCGAGAGTGAGGTGACAGAGAGCTGTGCTGTTTCTCCACCCCCTTTAACGATGCTAATTCAAACAGAGTGCCTCAACATGACACAGACAGCCGTACTGCAGTTCACACATTGTGAGAAATAAGCTCATCATTATGCATAACCTGCAGGTGTTCATGGATTGTTGTAAATGATGCTGGTCAGGTATCCTATCAATCCCTGATATCATGGAGATTCCCCCCTCACCATGGATACATAAGAAAGAAATGTTATTATCCTGCTGACAATTAACTTCCACTTCCTTTCTTCTTACAGTGCAGACGTTTTTCTGCTTGCTCTTGCCTCTTCTTACTTTTCCTGCAGATTTTCCTATTTTTCCCATCTGAAAACTTCAAGCAGCGGCTCGTGGACATTTATTAATCACTGGGACTAATATTCTTGAAACAGACAGAGGGCTTTTGCCATACTTGAACATTGTTATGACGAGACTGCTGTTACTGCGTGCTAGTTAGCTAAAGCTAGTTAGCGGCAACATGCCTCCCTCCAGCTGACTTCCACTTTCTCCTACAGAACATGCCATGTTGGAATCTAAAATACACCTGTTGGAAGTTTACGTGGAAGTAAATGGACTATGTGGGAATGGAACAAGGGCATGCTAAAACACAGCTAGTTAGCAACAAAAAAAGGATTCCAAGGAACAGTAGGGCTGCGTACTGGGTGATAAATCTACAAGTGGCAGTCCTTCCTGGAACTCTCTGGGTGCAAAGCCTCCGAGTAAATCCTTCCCATGGGAATTTAGGGAAGAGTAACAGGCAGAGCCCAGCGCTGAGATCTGTGATCCGCCCGGCTGACCTGCACTGTTATCATCCAGGCCTTCAACCCCTGCTTATAGTAGGAAACAGCTGTGGACTGCTCCTTATTTATGAACACGTTTGTGGGAAAAACCACAAGGTGAAGTTTACAGATTGAAGGGGCCTCACCTGCACCAACACAAGATTAGTATTAACTTTGATTGGTTATTTTCACAAAATGTTTCACCTGTAAATGCTTTTTCCTGTTATGGAGTAGCATGGTGGGTCAAACGTTTTTATAACCGAGGATAGAAACTATATTAGTATATATATATTATATTATTTTTGTAT